AAGAAACAACCGTTCATGCAGTTAACCTAATTAGTTCAAGTTTGGTGCAAAAACGCATGATCGCACCGGCTTGTCTGGTGTTCTCCAGCCTGGATTCCATGTTATGACAATTGCTGGCAGCTGATTGTTTTAGAAGGTGAAACTTAAAGAAAAGCATAACGAAAATTCTCCGAATGAAGCGGTGGTTACGGATGATGGAATTGATATCGGTAAATTATACGATTATCCATATCATGATCCGTCGATTATGACAAAGCTTGTGGCATACTGCTCTGATCAGGTTTCGAACTGATATTTTTAATGAAGAAAAGTTTGCAGAAGCACGGAGTAACGTTAATATGTTTAATCGCTTTTATTATTCCAATATCTCAAACTTTGTCCAGCTGTTTTTGCACATATATGCGAAATTGTTATATATATGTTATATATAGCTTAACGCACGAAGTAAAAATGTGGACCTAAAAATTAACGCGTCGAAAAAAAAGGTAATACAAAACGAGGGTATGTCCGTAACAAGACTACAAGCTGCATCTTTATGAGTGGATTCCAAGAAAAGGAAAATGACCACTCGGAAGGTTTCCAAAGAGGCAGCGCGCAGACGTTGAGCGATTATTAACTAGAAGTATACAGCTCAAGATCGAAAGGTCTGAGCTACGGCTGAGTGAGGTATCCTAGTAACATTACTAACATGAAAGTCCTGCACCGATTTTCCGAACGGTACTGGTAGCATTGATATTAAGGTTTTAACTTCGAAAAGGCCAAAATAGGTACAAATAATTCGTTTCAGGCTCATTCATCGGTTGAGAAAGGAGTTATGCTTGCAGCGGTACGCCTTCGAAAGCTAAAATCAGTTCGTGGAGGTCCTTTTGACAACTTCTGCGTTACACCAGAAGTACTCGAGGCTGCAATTAAGGTAGTTATTCCCGTGTAAATAACATCAAAGGAGGTTCCAGGCGATTCTGCGTTTTCGATGAAAAAGGCACTTTGTTGATAAACTGTAGCTTGCGCAAGGATATTGCCTCGCATTTTCAGTCTTCACCAACCAGAGAAGCTAGGAAGCTGAAATTTAGCGGGAATATTTCAGAGTCATGTGCTACCCCACAAATGCAGTATCAATTCTTCTGTGCGCCTACCTCACGTACGGGCATAAGAAATTTTGAGTTGCAAAGTTGTTGGCGTCCTTTTACTTGAGAATCAAATTGAGTAGAAAGCTCTACTTTTATGTAGATATTTGCTGCCCATCTGTCGCCCGTTGACGGTAAATGAACTTTCATGAGCGCCCATGCCCGTATGCGGGCGAGTCATCCTCCCGAATAAAGTATGACAGATTCATCAGTTAGCCTTTATGAAACAATATTTGAAGTTTGCACGAGAGAACAAGTACTGAGAATATCCTATAAAAAACAAATAAAATTTACGCAAAAAAGGTGTTCCGATAAATTCTCAATAATCATAAACAATTTCATGGTTATGTTTTAGACAGATCGAGCAAACGGGCTGATTCCGTTTATGTTTATTATGACTCTCGGCACTACTTCCACTTGCGCTTTTGATCCGTTGGAGCAACTTGCACCAATATGCCAGAAAGAGGATATGTGGGTACATGTCGATGCCGCTTACGCAGGTTTCTGTTACCACCTCCATTTCTATTGCCACATCTACTTTGAATCTCGGCGCAGTCTTCAGTATTGTTGGAATGCGGCCACTCACTGGGCTCAGCTATATCAGGTCCTATTACTTTATAGAGCGTGTGCGCCTAAACGTCACATTTCGTGCACTTGACACACTGAAAAGCTATTGTTTCATAATCGCGTTTATTCTCACTATTAGTGAACTGGTAATTCACTGGCAATTTCTCCATTCTTCTCCACTTTGAGCCTCTCTGTGCAAAATGTATAGCCTGAGCAAACTAAACTGTCTATTTTGAGGGTCATTTATGCTGTGTCCAGAATACCGCTTCATTGGAAATGGCTTGAAATTCGCCGACTCGTTTAACATGAACGCTCACAAAACGATGCAAGTTACTTTCGACTGCTCACCGATGTGGTTAGTGCTTGATGATAGATGAATTTTGTGGTAGAGTATTAAAGAGGAACGTTCAGAAGAACTCCAAGCTCCTACTTAGCGTTAATTTTTGATAACAAAAAGGCTTGACCTGTAAAGCTTGCTGGTCACTGTCCACCTAGTAATTATATCTGGAACTGGAACTAATTAGGATATATCTGGAACTAAAAATTGCATGTGAAATTTTAGAGGACTTATTGGCAAATGAATCAAAATTACGAAAAAAATAGCATATATAGCCTTACGCATAATATTCACATTTAAAGTGGAGGAGATTTGGCGATTCATTAAAAAAATATGTGCCTAATACGCATACAAAGAGGAATTTCAAAGTGGGAAGCAATTTTAGGTTCAAAGATGGGCTGCATGCGCTGCGGTATTTTGAAGTGAATCCACTTTACCTGAAATACGAGCACCAGTCATCTGCATTTGATTACCGGGTAAGCGAGCTCAAAAATTAATCTTTAACAGGCAACACTTACCATTCATTTCCTTGATTTTACAGGTTTGTTCAGCTGCATTTCAAAAGCAGCCCTTTGTCTATACAGCTGGCAACTTTCCCAATTGATTTGATCAGTGCTGCTGCATCAGCCAGTGGTGGTCATCCTGATGGCGAACTTGATGTTCATTTTTTGCTTGTGAAGAAACTGTTGCTCAGCTGTTCTTCTAAAAAAACCCTATTGACAAGGCTTTAGCTATTTCAAGATATTTTTAGCGTGTGTTAAGTATTACCGCCTCCTGTTCGAGTGTTGCTACTTCTAGATCACGATGTGGTACCACACCGGCTAAAAGATTTTGATACGTTTTTGCTGTGCAAAGCTATAGCGCTGCTACAGCCGGCAGAAACGCATATTGTCGAGAGGCTGTCGGTGTGTGTGTGTTCGGAAAGCGAGTACATTTTGTCACCCACTTTCATCTCAGCAACCAGGAAAGCT